CCCGCTGGCATCCCCCGCGGTGGGGGAGAGCCTGGCAGGAGGGGGGGGTCCCTGCCTCCTCCCCTGGACTTCACCCAGTCCCACCTCTTCTTAAAAGCGATTCCAGCTTGGGGGTTTCTCAGCTAACCAAACGGTGCCCTGAAGGTGGGCGAATCCCATCTTAAACCTCATTTATAGAGGAATTAACCCCAGAATTAAAAGCCCAGCGGTGCTTAGAGGCAGCGAGTGACCGCGGCACTGCGAACATTTCTTATCAGCGAACAGGACGAAGCTGGAGCCCCTAATAAATGCATCATCGGGAGCGTTGGTCCAAAAGGAAATCGATTACGGTTCAGCTCAGCCACAAGAAAAAAGGATGCAGAAAGATAATATCGGTGATTATTGTTTGATCATTCTCCAAGGTATTCAAAAGGCTGCACTGAGAACAGTTGTATTGGTTAAAAAGAACCAGCCAGGATAAGAGGTGAAGTGAAACAGATAGTATAAAAATATAACAAATAAACAGGAGAAAGCTGCTATATATTGAAATCCAAGAGTTATGGGAAATTGGTAAAGGAAGCAAAGCTCATAAGGAGATCTCTATGACAAGCAAAACTAAAGGGATATTTATAGAACAACACTTTAAAAGGAGGCAAACCAAAGATTCCTGACAATAGTACAAGTCCCTTAACTGCGTGGAAATAAAAATAATAATAGTGAGTAGTTAATGACAATACACAAGGTAGAGGCAGAATAAATTTCTCTGTCCTATGGATTGACAAAACCAGGCAGTACAGTCATAGGAAATGACAAACCCCTGCTCATTCCATGGTACTGTAGGTGGCTGCTAAAAAGCAAACACAAAACTGATGCTTGGGATCGGGAGGTCCAGAGAATTCCTACTCTAGAGTTTTACAAGACCTGAACAACAGAAGTCTTAGATCACTGCTGTTTATTTGCAGTAAGTCTTGCAGGACTACGGACTTTGCAAAGAAATTGCGCAGGTTAATGGGGATGCCAATATTTCAATGGGTAAAGAAGACCATCCCGGTAACGATGGGTGCGTCAGTTGACACCAGCTCCTAGGAAAATGATGTAACAGCTGTTAGGGAGTTTGACTAACCCTAAGAATTAAAGGAGGCGAATGTAATTAGTACAAATCAACTCAGGATTATAGAAGTTAGATCTTGTCAAACTAATATGTTATTACCTTTGAAAAAAAAATCAGATTTAGATAATATAAATAATAGCTCTGATCTAAGAAATTACTATAAAGCACATGATGAGGCACATCTACACAACTTTCTAGCAAGACTCTGAAACACGACAAAGACGGTAAGAGCCACAAATCCATTACAGGCCAGCCAGCCCAGGGAGAGCC